AAATGAATAACTCAAATAAAACTCCAAACATCTTTCATTGTGTTTCAAAGCTCTTTTAGTTTTAAACCTGATGTTTATAAGCTTCTTAGTTTTTGCAACGGTCTGTAAATATACACAACTTTATAATACAATGCACACATTTACCTTTTTCTAGACTAAACACAGGTATGATCCTAAGTTAAAAACATATGAGGTTATCATGAGGTTGTTAACATCGCAATTTATCAGTGGATGTTTGCTGGAACTACTTGTAAACAGCGTGTTTCCTGACGGACACACACAGCGTGGAGACCGGTCAGGTAGAGACCGGTCTCAAGTCAGCACCGCTGCAGACTCGCTGTTTGAGGGCTTGATAGCCCACTCCCCCTCCACACTCGTTGCTTTGGAACAGCCCTCAATATGGCGGACCCTCCGCGTGAACGCGCAAACGGAGGGGTAGGGTGTAGGGGTAGGGGTAGGGTGTAGGGGGCGGTTTGGGAATGGGCCTAAGTAGAAGCTGCTGGACTGAAGCCAGTCCCAAACTCCGGGTCGTACAAATTATTGAACTCAACCTCTGCTTAAAAAAACTAAAATCACAGCCCATTCATTTGGCCTTTCTTTCATTATGTGCAAAGAAAAAGCAACCTCTTAATCCAGATATCGTACCATGACTCATGCATGCATGCACGTGCACGGTGTGGCATGACCACCAAAACAGAAAGATATGGACACAAGATGTGTGCAAATGTATTTAGTATCCTATCCATGTGAACATGATTTAAGATTTTTTTTTTTTTTTAAATGTTGAAGTTAAAAGCATCAATCTGGTGCACTTTGAGAGCAACATGAGGAGATCTATGGATACATCTCTCAACACCCATATGAAACAGAACTATAAGCAGATTTTTCTTTTTGGATATTTTACAAATCACTCCCCTTTTAAACTCTATTCTTGTTATTTTTAACAACTTTTTTGTCTCTAATGTCTCATTAATAACTATAATGATCATATCAAGGTGTGCCTTAACCTCACTGAGCTGAGGTTATTTGAGCCTCTCAGGAGAGAGCTCTCTTCCACCTGGTTGTAGAAAAGCTCTTTAAATTCGTTAGCATAGCTAGCTAACCAGATGCTAATAACAGATCGCCACTGTGCTTACAACTAAAGACACAGCCACGCAAACACTGCGGCATGTGTACGGCTCCTTATGGGTACTGCAATATTTGAAGAGCTGGAACGGCGTTCCGGTGCTCTCCATCATCACTCTAGTCCAGGGTTTTTCAAAGTGGGGGCCGCGGCCCCTCGGGGGGCCGCCAGGGGGGTCGCAAAAATGTTGAGGGAAAGGGAAAAAAGGGGGTAAAATGTAAAAAAAAAATGTAATATATGTTTTTTTAGATGTTATTAATAATTATATATCTATCAATCTATGTGTCCTTTGATGCCCAATTGTTTAATATATTTAAACAAAATTAAACAACACGACCGCCCTTGAAGCCAATCAGAATCGAACTGTCGCTACTGAGAGTGTAACTGAGTTGCTGTGTGAACACTAGCTAGCTACCTCCTGCTAAAGGATCAAATGGACAAATATCTTAAAAGAAAAACACCATCTGACGATCAGAATGAAGATGTCCCCACTGCAAAAGATTCACAGCCATGGAATACCTGGCCGTCTAAAACTCGGAGGTATGAGCCATCATACATAAAGTTTGGTTTTACCGCGGCAAGTAAGAACGGCCGTGATGTACCTAAATGTGAAAAGAAGAGCACCTAGTAATGCAATCGGCTACTTTTAAGCAGCAAGCCGGCGGGCCTTGAAGGCATCATTTTGAGCATCATACCACATCGCCCGTGCAAAGAAACTGCACACAATAGGAGAGGATTTAATTCTACCAGCTACCATCGATATTGTAAGGGAAATGCTAGGTGAGGATGCTGCCAGCAAAATCAACGCAGTACCACTCAGATAATTCTGTGAGCCGACGGATTGGTGACATGGCTCAAGACGTATCTGCTCAGCTTTTGGAGCAAGTGAGAGCTAGCGAATATTTCGCTCTGCAGCTGGATGAGAGCACGGATGTAGCAAATGTCGCAGAATTGCTTGCATACATCAGATTTATTTCAGAAGACAACTTTGTTGAGGAAATATTATTTTGCAAAGCACTGGAAGGTAGAGGACCACAGGAAGAGACATTTTCCAAGTTTTAGATGAGTACATCATCTCAAACGGACTTGACTGGTCTCGTTGTGTGGGTGTGTGTTCAGATGGGGCAGCGGCTATGACAGGCAAAAAAAGCGGAGTGACAGCTTTGATAAAGCAGAAGGCCCCAAATGTAGTGGCAACGCACTGCGTGCTCCATCGGGAGGCACTTGTTGCTAAACGAATGGATGATGAACTACATCAGATACTACAGGAAGTTATACAAGTAGTGAATTTCATAAAAGCTCGGCCCTTAAAACACCGACTGTTTGCTATTTTGTGTAACGAGATGGGCGCAAAGTTTGAGGGGTTACTGCTCCATTCCAACGTGCGCTGGCTTTCCCGTGGGGCGGTGCTGAATCGTGTTTTTGAACTGCGAAGGGAGATCGGTGAATTCCTCTCTTCTGAAAATCATCAACTGGCTGGCCGTTTTTCAGATGCCTCATGGCTCCGGAAACTTGCATACATGTCGGACATATTCCAGCATCTAAATCTCCTGAATAAGAGCATGCAGGGGCGCGAGACGTACATATTACATGTGCAGGACAAAGTACAGGCTTTTACAAAGAAAATCGCCCTGTGGTCGACCAAACTCAAGGAGGGAGTGACAGAGATGTTCCCACAGCTTCACCAAGCGCTTCTGTCATCCGGTGCTGATCCAGGCACCATTTCACCACTGATCCAGTCGCACCTAGCACACCTGCAGGGATATTTCAAAGAATATTTCCCTGACCTGGAAGACAACTCAAATCAAAACTGGATAAGAAACCCATTTGCCCCAGGAGTAGGTGAGAGTCTGGATCTTATGTCCCAAGAGAGACTCATAGACATGGCGAATGAATGGGAGTTGAAGATGAAATTGCAAGCTGTTTCACTCCCACAGTACTGGCTTTATGTCAAAAAAGACTATCCTGCACTGGCTGAGAGAGCTCTCAAATCCCTGCTTCCATTTGCCACCACATACCTCTGCGAGTCTGGCTTTTCTACATTGAAGGTATTGAAAACAAAGCACAGAGCACGTTTGCAAGTGGACAATGACATTCGTCTGGCACTGACAAACCTAAAACCTAGGATTGATAAACTGTGTAGGAGCCACCAAGCCCACCCCTCCCACTAGTGAGGGAACATGTATACACAAAGAGACACATAGTGAAATGACAAGGACTGTTTATAACTGAAGACACACTGAATGTAATGAATAAATGGCAAAACAAACAAAAAATACTGTACATGTTAACTATTAATATTACTGTTGAATAGTATGTATAATGTTATATATATATATATATTATTAAGACAGAAATAACTTTCAAAAATGCTCAAAATATATGTTTATTGTTCATATTACTGTTGAATATTATTATATTATTAAGACAGAAATCACTTAAAAAATATGTACTGTTGATATTACTGTTTAATATTTTGCTAAGAATATTTGTAACAGAAGACACAATGAATGTAATGAATGAAAAACAAAAGATAAAAAACCTTTTTTTTTTTTTACTGTTAATAGAAGAATATCTGATTATTAATTATTAATAAAAAAATATATTAAGAATATTTATTAAGAAGCTGTATGTTTAATTTCTTACTTTTGCCATCATAATGTACACATCATTAAAACAAATTGCAACAGGGGGGTCCCTGCCAGAGGATAATGCTATATGGGGGTCCTTGGCTTGGGAACCCCTGATCTAGTCTACACTCCTTTCAGACGAGACATATACCACGTGAAGACACCGCTCGTGTTGTGTTCAAGGAACCTGTCCTTGGCCAGGAAAAACAGGCACTGGCTTGTTTAACTATTTTGCGATCTAGATTTCTTCTTCTTTTTTCTTTTTTGAAGTGAGTTGTCCGTCAGTAGGACGGACGGATGGACTCCCCCCCCCCCCCCAAAACGAAAACTCGTTGGTTCTCCACGAATTACACAAGTAACCCAAATCAGCGTTAAAAAAGCGGGAGGCGCCAAAAAGTGACTAATTTGAATCACTGAGATTCATGTATGATGCTATTGGAGATGTTCCTTTTACCCTGAAGGCTTTGCTATAAGAGAGTACATCAAAAAGTATGCAAACAAATCACAAACTTTTGTTGAGTGTTCCCGCACACACCCATACAGACTCTACAGCTCATTAGCTTTTAGTCTGTGTTAAGAGAGAAGAAGACAGAAGGACAGATGGAGGAGATCACTCAACTGCCACTTGATTAAATAATTAAATAATTCATTAACATCAATACATTGGAAGTAAGAGTAAGAAGTAATTACCATGACACAAACCATCTACAGCTCAAAGCATTAGTTAGTAACAGATGTGAAAACGACCCACTTAAATGAACAAAAGTCGCACACAGAAGTTACCTCTCCGAAAGTGTCTTTAGTCTATTTGCCAGCTCAAAGAGTCCTATTGTGAATCAGAAAATCCTGAGTACCCCAAAGTTGTATGTTAGAAATGTATAGTACGGGCACCCAGCACATAGAAACGGCCGTATGCCAACTTGCATATGTTGGGCAAATTGCAATATTAATATAAATTGCATTAATTAGCATTATTGGGCAATTCTGGAGTGGTTTTGGGGGTTATTGAGGATGCTGAATACATTCCTAAAAGATTAAACTGTAAAACTAAAAAGCTGTAAAGAGTTGGGTTGTTAGTTCTAAGTCCTGCCAATAGAGTTGTGCAGGAATGAATCCCAAAACACGAAAATGAGTCAGCATTTTTCCACTTCCAGTTGTATTGAACGCATTTTAGGGTAAAACAAAACTCCAGAAAGGAGTTTCAAAAGTAGTTGTACACCCCCCCTCCAAGTGCCCTCCAGCTATACCTGAGGTTGTGCAGAGCAGCCACTGCCAGTGTGCCGCTGAGCACCAGCAGGGTGAGGATGTATGGGTACAGCAGCAGGGTGCCAGCCAGGCGCTCCAGGGTGTCGAAGGGAAGCAGGCCGAACGCCTCCTCACACAGGTACAGACTGGCATCAAAGTCCCTGAGACAGGGAAAGACGGACACATGATGACGCCAAAAAAGCTTAGCAGGGACTCTTTAAACAAAACATTTATTATTTAGAGTTCCTACTTTTCTTCTATGCTAAAGTAAATATCTTTAGGTTTTGAAATGACAAGACAAGACATTAATGACATGGACTTGGACTTTAAGGAACTGGGATGGACATTTTTCAAAATATACAGACAAAAGGATACAAATATGAATCTAGAAGCAGATTAAAGAAGCAGATTAATCAATAATCTAAATAATCAGAGTTGCAGCCCCAGTTGCAACTGATCGAAAAACATTTTTAATTACAGTGCAAATGTTTCCATAATGAACTGGATCTATTATCTTCATATGCCATCAACGTGTGTTATTTCCCGTGCTTCTGGAGAACAGGTGTGCAGATCAGTTATTGAGGTGGGAATAGGGATAAGAAAATAAGATAGGAGTACAACAAAGGAATCAGCGAGTGAGAGAAGCAGGCAGAGGCAGAGGAGAAAGCCTCCTGAATAATTGAAAGCCGGTTGTGTGGCGTTGGGATGAGAGCCGTGTTATCTGCCACCCAGGAGCAGCTACCTGCACTGCACACACACTATCTGATCGATGGGAGGCCTGATGGCGTTACCCCGACATCTATTATTCACACACTCTAACACTCTAGATGCTACAATCCTGGTGCTTAGTGAATAATACAGTCACCTTAGATCAAGTCAAGAGGTGTATGGGTGCAGACTGTGTGTGTGTGCTTCTGAAATATGGATTCATTAGAATAAAGTGTGACTGTGTTAGAGAGAAGCATGGGAATGTACTGGTGTGTGTGTTTAGGCATCTACGAGTGTGTGTTCATACCTCGTTGGCCCCAAGGCAAACTTTGACTTGATGAATTTAAAGATGTGTTCGTCTGATCTGAGCTGAAGTGCTTTCTGTAAACACACATAAACACACAGATATGGTCATCCTGTCAGGGCTGAAAATCAACACGCTGAGATGTACAAATAAGTTAAATAAACCATGCCGAGATCAAGCTTACGAGTTGGAGATACATGAGTAGGAGAGGAGGGCTGCCGGAGTGGGAGAGTGTAGTGGGGGGGTGGAGCAATATTAAGACAGCACATGGAGGAGCAGAGGAACGGGAGAGGAGGGGTGTGAGAGGATGGAAGCCCTGGGAGGCAAGTCACCTATTTCCTAATCTGATTTAAATAGTTTTAATTTCATTATGACAATTACATTATATTTCATTAAATATCCAAAGCGACGTACGATAAGTGCATTCAACCAAGAAGATACACATTTAAAACAAGCAAGAATCTTGCAAATACATGACCTTCCACTACACCAAATGAGTGCAATAGGTGAAGGGGATCATTTAATGTTTCCAAGTTTCTTGTTGTAATACTCTTTTAGGCCACAAGAGGCTGAGTACACCACTCTTTTGTGTTTTAAAAATCTGTAAAACATTTTTGTTTCGATCAGACCTGGATCACGGATCGCAAGCTTTTTTTTCTGACTTTCCTCCCAGGGCTTCTGTAAAAGAAAAGCTGTGAGGAGCACCTTGGCCAGGTAGTTGATGGTGACGGTGAGGAGGAGGACCATGGCGCTGTGGAGGAGCAGTCTGCCCAGACGGACGAGAGGACTTCCTGTCTTCAGACCAGACTGCAGGAGCAGACAGCAACAAAACATGTACACTCAATGCAGCTGACAGACACATCTACACACACACACATCCTGTGTTGGAAACCACCATGTCTCAAATTATATTCATATTAAATGTGGACACATGGCTGACATTAGTGCTGTAGCGACGCGTCGACTTCAAAATATCGTCGACGACATATTTCCGCGTCGACGCGTCGCTACACACACGTGGGTCACCCAAAGCAACAAGCAGTTCGCAATCGCACTTCAAACACAATGGAGACTGAAACGGCTACCACCTCCTCCTCACAGGATTGCGCACGAAGCCCCCAAACGAAAACATCTCACCCTAGGTCTTCAAAAGCATGGGAATATTTTAAAGTTAGTCCAAAACGCAAAGATATTTATATATGTATATCTCACTGAGACTGCTGCATAGCCTAGCAGAAGCAGCAGCTAGCTGCGGTGGCTACCATTAGCAGCTAGCATTTGCTCTCCGATTTTTACATAAAATGAAATTATGGATTATAAATTCAATCATTTTGTTATACATAGACGTTAAAAACCTATGGATTAACCGATTCAGCCGCGTTTTTTCTCATTTTATTGCCATTGAACACGTCTTTTGATCAGATTACGGTGGTGAGACGATCTCCCGAGAAGCTCTGTGAAGGTACGTGTTGTGATGACTGTATTTGCTTCCCCTGTCGCGAGTCCGGATCACTCAGTGATGATACTATGTACCTACATAATCTGTGGAGTCTCAGCTCTGTGCCAATGTCCGTTAGCATTTTTCGCTCAGGGGTCATTTAGATGCTTCTTATGAGACTTGTGTTTTGTTTTGGTAAACATGGTTTGTATCGTCAGTTAGCTGATATTATTTCCGTTAATCTGGTATAACACATTAATAGGTTCTTAAATATTAAGATCCCCTGAGACACAGTAGCCTATCGTGAAAAAAATTGTTTTTACATTACGTTTTTTTTACATTACGTTTTTTATGAATTGAACAACAGAAAAATAATCGTTAGATTAGTCGACTAATCGATCAAATAATCGCCCGATTAATCGTTTTCAAAATAATCGTTTCCCCCCAGCACTAGCTGACATATTATTATCTGATGAAGTACGCATTTCCTTTGCAGTTCATAATTGTTATTACTGACTGCTACTTAACTGTCTTAGACAGACACCAGATCATCTCTGTTATGTGCCTTAACACTTTTCTACTTAAGTAGTAAGTAATAACCAGCTGCTTCTTCATTAAGGAATATGTTCACTTTCTGCACTGTCCCTTTGCTGTAACAATGTACATTTCTCATTGTGGGATGAATAAAGGATTTCTGATTCGGACATTCTACAAAAATAATCAAATAAGCTGTTTATACATTTGAACCCAGAGGTGGGACGTAATAAAATGCAGGGCAAAAGTGAGTCTCAAATCTTGGCTATAAAGTTCAAGCAATCAAATTTGTCACATGGAATAGTACAAGTAACAATTCTAGTGAAAAAGACAATACACCAGTTCATATGCAACTTTAACAAAGGATTATTTAAAAGCAAACTGATGAGGTTCTTTTGTTGCAGCAACTAGAGTTGGGGTTTGAACGCTTTATTTCAATCTGAATCTCATTTTTCAATCCCTTATTTTCAGCTTTCAACATTTGTAACAAAGGTTTAATGAATACAACTCAATGATTTCCTGTTTGTGTTGTTCTCTTATTCTATGGTCCTGATTCAGAGTTGATCATATACATAAAGTAGGGATTCAGACAAGTGCAATTCATAAGGCAGCCGTGTTGGAGTAGAACTACAGACAAACATATTCCCTAGTGAGCCATTTCACAGAGTGATGCTTCTTTGATCTGACAGATGATGTTTGGCTGGATACACCAGCTTGAAAACTCACCCATACACAGCCTCTAAAAGAATGGCTTGTATTTATTTTCAAGATCATTTTCTTTTCATATCTTTGATAATTAACATTTCTCCAGCTGTCTTATTTCCACTTTCACCCTGTCAAATGAAATGGTTTTGTAATTGTTACTGTGATAAGATCTGATTTAACTAAATGACATGTATACCTGACAGGGAAATGTGTCTCCAGAATAACAATGTGTATTATCTTTTGCAAAATCAGACTTCATCACGGACTTCTTCACGCCATGCGGCTTAATCTTCCATCTGTGTTTGTCTGGCTGCATATTTCCCTGTGTGACTTTGATACACTTACCAGTTTTTCATTCACAGATTTAGAACCTTATTCTCTGAACCATCACACACACACACACACACACACACACACACACACACACACACACACACACACACACACACACACACACACACACACACACACACACACTAACCTGGCAGTGTCTGATGAAGAGTGCGGCTACGATGAAGCTCAGCACCAGTGATCCCAGGATCATGGAGTTACAGAACTGGAGGAGCCACACACTCAGCAGACTGCTCACTTGGACCAGGTACAGAGTGGTCACCTAGAGAACACACACACACACACACACACACACACACACACACACACACACACACACACACACACACACACACACACACACACACACACACACACACACACACACACACACAGTGCTGTGAAACATAAAGGTGCAATACACAGAATACAGAGCATTAGCAGCAAACACACTTCTTCTGTGTGTAGTAATCTGATCAGGGGCCTCATTTATAAACGTGGCGTACGCTCAAAAGATGGCGTACGCCAGTGTCTAAGCAATCTTTGCGATTTATAAAAAAAACTTGACCCATCCGTACACGTTAAACGTACTAATTTAGCATGGTGTGTTGTTTGTTTAGTCTGTACGGAAACCAGAGTATTTTCGGCATAAAGATATACATACATACACATTATGTTTGTGTTCAATATAACTTATTGGCTTTATGTCATAACATTTTTGATGTTTAGTGAGATTAAACTTTAAAAGGATCATATTTAATTCAGTGGGCAAGGGATGTTTTTAATTGAAAACTGGTAGTCTTCTGATTCAATCTAAAAGTTACTTTTGGAGACGTATGAATTTTTTAGATGATCTGCTTTTTTGAGTTATTGAAAATATTCCCCTGGATGTCATTGTCTTTTATCTGTTGCTGCCAGCCAAACTGTGAATGGCAGCACACGGCCGTGTTAAAATGTTAAAATTGCTTTTGGTTTACCCCTCTAATGGTCTCTCCATTGTGCAGAATAATTAGAGGCTTTTTAAATGTCAGAGAGTCATCCGCATGACGCTGTAATTAAAAAAGAAAACCTTTATGAGTGTCATAATGAATTGGATATGTCGTTATCATCACCAATAAAAAAGGCTTTGTTCCTTCACTGACTGAGTGAACATGCTGCTATCATCACTTTGGGATGTCTGTCCTTGGATAAAGTATAATGAAGGTTTGATGCATACAATTATGAATATTTGGTGACATGCCTTTGATTCATGTCATTCCCTGTAGTTCCATTCACTGTAGAGCTAATGCTTGTAATAACCCTGTCAATAACACAATTATAGCCACATTTTTGAGTTTCATGTAGTTTATTTTTTTTTTACTCCAAATGATTCACACAAAGAATGGGATACTCTCAACTAGGGATGCACCGAATATTCGGCCACCGAAAATTATCGGCCGAAAATGGTTAAAAAGGCCCTTTCGGCTTTCGGCCGAAAGGGTTTTAGCACCGAAAAAATATCACCGAATGTCAGAACAGGCTTACGTTGGTAACCTAACGTGTTGTTGTGATGACGTAATAAAGACGCGGCGACCATGCTCGCGGCTGGCTCACGGGGGGGGGGACGGACATCGACCTTTGTCATCGAGATTGCCCTGAGCCTTTAACAAATCGTATTAAATAATCTGATGACAGATTGTAAACAGAATAGCTGACATTTTAACAAACTAAATAACTCAGTTTCCTCTAATCATTAACCCATGTTTGTATCATGTAGTTAACTCCGTGTAGCTGCTAGCATACATAACACCTGACGTGGAAACGTTACTCGTGGATGGGGCTACAGAGCTGCTAGAAAGACGGTCGAACCCGGTACATTCCTCCGTCTGCATGCGGTGCACTTTTGCTAAATGTTTAGACAAATTGCTCGTGCTTACATGCTAAACTCTTATTGCACTTATGGTAACAAGTATTCTCCACATCGAGACGGGTAAAGTTTAACCACACCTCGGAGCGCGTTCTCTCCGCCATCTCCGCAGTGTGCTCCGCTGCATGTAGCAGCTGCGTGTGTGTAAACTGCCCCGCCCCCTCGCACACAGACGGGGGGGAGAGATCTCGTCTGATCGAAAATACATCATAGACGCATTTGTTGTCTTTGCATATTAGAAACGAGTTGGCGACACTAAGAATGCGATATAATGTTTTTTAGCAATAATACATGACATATATAAATGTACTGTATGCATTCAAAAGTGCTGAATAAATGTTTTATGGACCCATAATAGTGATTATTATTTAAGTTAAGTTTTGCCATAATCATGTCTATTTCCATAATCAGGTAGCTGAACAACATTGGTAAAAAATGTATAAATTATATATATATATATTTCTATTAATCATTTTCGGCCTTTCGGCATTCGGTTTTCGGCCAACTGTTTCCTATTTTCGCAGTGGCGAGCCGTGACTTTTCTACCTAGGCCCTCTGACCCCACCCCCCTCTTCCCTCGAAAAAAAGAAAATAAAACGTTTTTACGTCACAGCTTATAGTATACTTCAGCGGAATATCAAAACAGCGCCCGGGGTGCAAAACGCATCAATGACAGCGACCCTCTACCACACAAAACAACACCATTTATATAAACACCTATCATGACAGGACACCCACAGCCAAGTAACAATTACAAATGAATTAAGTCGGCACGGCGGCCCACATTGAAAATCACTTTGACTTACCTTTGATGATCAAATCACCTAAACACAAAGTCCATCCTCCTGTCTTTTTGGATGAAGAACTTGATGGCGTCGTCATGCAGCTGATCCTTTGCTTTTAAAGCAATCAGCAATTCCTTCTCGATCGAAATTAAGGCCAAGTCTGACAGTCGGACTTGCCCAGTCGTGGACCTCGAGTAGCTTTTTATGCGCTTCAGCGCAGAGAAGGACCTCTCCACAGAGGCAGTGGACACAGGTATTGTCAGGATGATGCATGAGAGGGTGTACACCTGTTTCATGCTTTCACTCAGTCCTTTTTTGAGGAGAAACTGATGAATGTCGGCTGGGCTTTTCCCCAAAATGTCAGACATGCCGTACATCACGGCGAGTTCCGTGTGCAGTCGAGGCTGGTCGAAATATCCGCCATAGCTCTCCATCAAACTGTTCAAGGCAGCAGTTGGGAAATAGTTACAGTAATGCCCGAACTGTTGCGGGTCCAGAAGGGCCAGGAATTCCAGCTTTTTGTGGTCACTGAAGCGGTTGGAAATCTGGGTTAGCAGGCTGTCAATTACGCTGCAGTGGAGCTCCCTGTACCGTGCACGAACGTCTCCTTGAGCTCCACGGCCGCGCGGAGGACCAACCAAAGCCTGGGTTTCATCGTAGACGCTGTCAAAGTTCCCCTTCTCCTGTTCAATTTGTCGCTGTAGCTGATCCACTCTGGCCAGGCAGAACTGCATATCAAAACCTTTGTTCTGAAGTATTTCAAAAACAACATCCGAATAGGAGAAGATAGCGTGGAAGGTTTTCAACCAAAAGCTGAAATCGAAGCTGGTAAGGAGGGTGATGTATCCATCAGAGCAATGAACAGTTTCGTCATCAAACTCTGTGTGATGGTCTACGATGTGCTCGAACACCTACGAGAGTAATGCTTAGTTTAGAAAAAACAACTTATAGACCTCCAGTAAACACTAAGATTAGCTTTCCATTTAATGTAATACTAGCATAGTTCTTTACCTTCATGTTTTTATGAGTGGGTAGTTTCCAACACTAAATCATTTCTTTATTATTGTTAATATTTCCATTACGTTCATTGTTATTATTATCTTACCTCTCTCAATTCCCTGGTCTTCTCTGCCACTGTGCACACCAAGCGAGAATGAAAGCACCAGCGAGTAGGAGCTGCCCGTGGAAGCCTATGCTGGCAAATATCATCCAGTAGCTTGGTGCGCTTTGCTGAGCGGCTGAAAAAGGTGGCCAAGCCAGAGAGGTGGGAGAAGAAGACCTTACACTCTCTTATCTTGGAAGCTCCCTTTGACAAGACGAGATTTAAGATGTGAGCATAGCAGTGAATGAAAAGGGCCTGTGGAATTGTTTCCTTAACTTTCGCTTGCACCCCATTCAATCCAGAGGCCATAACAGCTGCTCCATCGTAGCACTGCGCGACCACTTTGTCAATACAGCCACTCTCCCTCAGGAACTCCAGCAGCCGTGTAGCTATGGCCTCTGCTCGTTTGTCCTCTGTCACATCTTCGTACTTGAAGAAACGCTCTTTTATCCCATCGTCAGTGACATATCGAAGCACATATGACATCTGCGCCACGTTGCTAATGTCTGTCGTTTCATCCAACATGACCGCAACAAAAGGTGCCTTCCTCAGCTCCTCTTTCATGCTATCCGTCATTACACTAGCGACAGCGCTGATCAGGTCATTCTGAATCCTTGAAGATGTGCCGGTAAATACTGTTGATGTGGCGAGGTGTGTGTGCAGGTCGCTGTCATATTCTGCCACTAAATCCAGCAACTCTATGTAATTCCCCTTGTTTGATGAAGTTACACTCTCATCGTGACCTCGGAACGGCAACTCCTGCTTGCCCAAGTACACCACACAATTTATCAGGCGTTTCAAAATTCCTCGGTTCCTCTTCACCTTTTCATTATGAAGGATGACACCCCGGCGTTGTTGCTCATCCAGCTGGAGCTCTATCCTGGTGTCCCCAAATGTTTTAAGCCGAATAGTAGCTCTGAGGTGACCTGAAGCATTCTGATGGCGATGTGCTGATTTGGATAAACTTCCTAAATCAGAATATCCATCTCTGGCCCATGACCCACTGTCCGCTCCAAAAAGCAAGCAATCCCAGCAGTACAGCTTTTGTTCCCTGGTTGATCCGGTCATCCAGTTGTATCTGGCGTAATTGCCGATATTAAAATGCCTCTCGAACCGTTTGGTTTTTTGAACCAAATTAAGCTGTGGTGTTGGTCGCCCTGTGGTAATTAACTCCAATGTATCCGTGTAACTCATTCTTGAAAAAGACTCGGTTAGTAGTTTCGCAACGATGTCATCACTATCACTAACGTGAGCCATCGTGAATGAACGTATGCTAATTCCGCCTAGCTTGACCCGTTGATATATCACATGCATAAACTTGGCAGTGCAGCGGGCGGAACTTGTCATAAAGTCCGCGATAATAAAGCCCTCCCATTTAGAGGGAAGATATGATTGGTCAATTGTACTGTCACTTGACATTACTCTCTCGTTGTTTTACTATAGCGGGCCCTCTGTGAATCGCATAGAGGGCCAGACGAGCTTTTTTCATGTAACCCTTCACATTCAAACAGAAACTGAACAGGAAGATTCGAAGGATTTATTTCTTTGGAAATTTTATTTTAAATACAATTAAATCAAGTTTTTTCGGTAAAAATATAACACAAATAATATTTAAAAAATATATATTTAAAAAAAATAATATTTTTTAAAAATGTTTTTAAATATTATTTTTTAGAATATCTTAGGCCCTCACAGAGGGCCTAGAGGGCCCTGACGGCTCGCCACTGTATTTTCGGTATCGGTTTCGGCCAAGAATTTCCCATTCGGTGCACCCCTACTCTCAACAGCCTTTTAATTTTGATGTGACAGTTGTACCAGGCATTGGAAGTAGCATGTTCTCTTCTAAACCTCTTAGAGCTAATTTGGATTCAACCCATTGATGTAAAACCAAAACTGGATAGTGTTGGAGGCACTGTATTGTAAGTCAATGGGGAAATGCCGTTTTGGGCCCAAATGACCTCATGTCCTACAGAAATACAGTGGTAGATCTGTCACAGCTTTTATTCAAATGTATCTAAACACAATACTACCCAGCATCTCGTCAAAAAAGAAAAAAGCTTTATAATTATAGCACTCTTTTCAAATGATTATTCATTTCTGATCGGCTGTAGTGCTCTTACCTACAATGATTAAGTAAATTAGGAAGTATTTTTGTTGCCGAATAACGTTATGGGTTGAGACGGAAGTGTAGTATCACCCATTTGGCCACTACAAAAATGTGCTTTAACATCCAACTCATTTCTTGGAGGCTTGAATTAACCACTTTGGCATTGTTGGCAGACATATTAGCATTATAAAAAACATAAAACAGCAGTCAAAATATGTAGTCATTAATTAAGAAAATGCTCCAAAAATGTACATATAGCAGTCCAACCGAGATCGCACCTGGGGCCTCATTTATAAACGGCCAGTTTCTAAGCAATGTTTGCGATTTATAAAAAACAAACTTGACGGGAAAATGTGCGGCCCTCCACGCACACTCTGACCCATCCGTACGCGGTACGCACAAAAACGGGAGAGACGAGAAACTGCGACACCGTTGGCAGAAGGAAGAATGGAGAAAAATATGTGGAAATAATACCATAAATAAAATGTTACCTCTCATTTATCATATATGAAGAATTCATTTTCAAACATTGATTAAAGCCAATCTTAAAATGATTAAACAAACGCCTGTTTGCGACTCCTCAGTGCACACAAAAACATAACTTGGAGAAATAAATAAATACGGATATGTTATTTAAAACCACCTCGAATATGTTGTGTTAATGTTATGAAATGTTTTCTCATAAATGATGCGGTTTTGCATTTCTATAGGTTGTACGAGCATGGTTTTATATACTACCATGTTTAATCATGTTTTATGCCGTTTGCTAAGACTTGATAAGTCGCTCGTAAAACACAGGAGGTATGGAAACTAAGAACACCATATGTGGTCAATTGTACAGCTAATATAACACAACACATTGGTTGTATTTCCTTTAACTGGTGGATATAGAGCTGCTGCGGGGAGGGGGGGGGGGGGGGGGGGGGTTGAGATGCACAGGCTGCAGTGGAGACGCTGCGCACAGCTGATCGACAGCTGGAACATGAACTACAAAATACATGTTTTCATTCTGATCCAGTCGTCATGACTCCACTCCGGAGGGATTCCCTGATCACTTCTTACAGTTTCTCATCAAGGGGGGGTCTCCTGTCCCCGGTGCAAACACACTGCCTGAGGAAGGCGTATTTATTTTGTCATGAACCTTTTTCGGACCACTTATTTATTTATTTTGGTGACGATCCGACCTCCATGCTGCTACTCTGGTTCAAACTGCATCCACCAAACAATATGATTTATCTCCACCTCCCCAAAATAACCCACATCTGACACGGCGTGAGATGTCTTTTTTTTTAACTGTTCTGTCCTCATTTCCTGCGATCTTCTTCATGCAGTCAGTCAAAATGGATATTAATACGGGGCGTTTCTTTGACTATTTATAGGCAAATATGGGCGTTACGTGAAGCCAGCAAAAGCTGCGCCGCATTTCGAGTTGATTGTGATTTATAAAGGGAAACCGGCGTAGGACGTGCGTGCGCAGTGTTTTATAAATCGGAATATTTGTGTGCGTATTTATTTACTTTGTCCTAAGTACGCCACCTTCCCACGTGAATCCTACGCAAAGCTTTATAAATGAGGCCCCTGGTCTTATATACACTGCCTTTCTGTGGATTAGGTTAGGTCGGTCCTGGAGCCTCACCTGTGTAGTTGTTAAGAAGTCCAGACAGTCCAGGCTGTATATGATGAGAGCCTGAACCAGCAGTATGAACTGGTTGAACTGCCACGTCAGACAGAAGCAAAACGTTGTCACATACATCAACCACACCATCACTTTCTGTGGAGGGAAACACACACACACACTGGGGTTAGATTCTGGGTACTCAATGGCTTGTATACTCATTCCTGTTGTGCTGCTTGCTGTTTTGTGGCATGTTTCCTCTGCATGGTACGTCTCTGCTGACAGGACATACTTTTAGTGACAGATCTTTTTTTCCATTTTGTTTTCCACTGCGGATCGTACCCTCTCAGTGTAGGCCGGATTATCAGCATAGGTATGTCTGCCATTCATTCATTATGCTGCTTAGTGTCCTTGCTGTGTCTGGTGCTGTTTTTTGCGAGCTGACATTTGTTTTATTAAATCTAGGTTGAGTAAATGAAAGAAATTACAGTAGCAATTGTCGGTTGCTTGGTTAAAAAACGTCAGGTTTGTGCAGGATGTTCCGTGTCAAGCTCGTGACAATTTTATCTGACCAATCATTGGTCTATAGCAGTGCTCCTCAAAGTGTGGTCCGCGGACCACTGGTGGTCCGTGAGCGCCCCCTAGTGGTCCGTGAGTATATTGGTAACATTTGAAAATAATTAATCAATTTAAGTTTTCCGCACTTTGGCGGGAATATCTCCGCAATGGAGCAAGGTTAAGTTTCACTTTCAATTGCATGATATAGCCCAGCGCAACACCTTCATCACACATGTTGCTACTTGTTTGTACCATTTTCAGGAGATTTGTAATCTGTTCTAGAAAAATGATGTGTCTTTTTATATGTGTGGAGTTAGGTGGTCCGCGAGTGTTTTTGTATTGGTTAAGTGGTCCTTGGTATGAAAAAGTTTGAGAAACACTGGTTGCATCGAGGAGAATCGTGCAATACCCTGCAGTGTAAATGCACCATTAGGGAGTTAGAATATTGAGCAGATGGCTTGTGTGTTTCAATTCCAGGCCAATGTAAAGTGTACACCAAGTTACAAAGAGGATACAGACATTTTTAAAACATGACTACTTGTTTCCTACAATATCAGAAGTATTGTCGGGCCTTAAAATGTATTTAGGCGTCCCGTCAGCCCAATGACAATAAGACATTTGCTTAAGACGCAGATAACTTACTATCAACGCATTGTTTTTTCTCTGATAATGCTTCCTTGTGAACAATACATACAAGTTTCAAAAAGTGGCAGGACAAAAGCTTGTCACCAGTAGCTGTTAGCAGCCAGTAAATGGAGGCTCTATAGTGTTGGGTTATGGTGAATTCAAGCGTGTCATGATGTTTCATCTAAATATAATCTTGTAAAATGTAGTTCTTGGTAGGAAACTTGAATAGAGTTTTTTGAAGGACATAAAGTCACTATAAAATAAATAAAATAGAGGGAATTTGGACCTGTTTAACTTCAAAACAGTAAGAGTAAAACCGGCTTGTTTGTTGAAATACACAGGATTTAGCATTTTGTTTTTTATTGTGGCATCAAATCAGTATTGACAATCCATGAAATAACACTTATACTGTATAGGTATTGACTTCTACACTTTGTGTATCATGACATCCTTTGTGATCAGTAGCTTTGATTTAGCGTGGGTTTGTGCGTACCTGCTGTAAGTCTGTGAGCTGAGGCCTGAGGTAACAGGTGATAGCGGTGACCTGCAGCGCGAGGAAGGGCATCGACCAGTTCTCTCTGAGCGAGATGGTGAACTCCACACGAGTGGTATCTACCCTGAAGGGAGAAAGAGAGGGAGGGAGTGATTTACTTTCAAAATGATGTCAAATGTCCAAACCCCAACTAAGACCTATAGCATCTGAGACATACTGCAGTGTCTCAAACGTGTGTGTTGCCGATCAACCAGACATAAAGGAATGAGTCCAATAACACAGATGCCTGAAATAAGATGTGTGGTTAGAACAAGCTTAAGAGATTTTCCCTTGTTGTTCTTTGATATAAAATAGGTCAGTAACTAGCCCACACGTTAAGGTCTTCTATGTGTCATTAAAACAGCGGTTGCTAGGGAGTTGTAAACATCATCGCACAAAAACATTGGCCGCCTTTAGCTTAACGGTGGTGATGTGAAGTTGTACGACCGTGATGTAGTTTGTTTATAGCTGTAGGTTAGCTATTTACTTCTGGCAATTGCATTGACGTGTATTGTTGAGATTATCCTGATGAACAAAACATGTAGGTATCATATGGTTTGCCATAGATCTTACTTTCCATATTCCTAAATCCAATGGAAACAGCCCTTTCCTAAATAGGATGTCAGTTTTTTGGGGGGGTCCAGTTTTTTATTGATTTGGACCCCAAAGGAACTTGATCTCGGACACAGTGTTACGGAGCAGCTGTATCACAACCAATAGCATTTCTATAAGTCCTGGACACAATGGTTTGGAAAGCCCCAGAGTTGTCAATGACTCTCACAGTGCGTCCCTGCTTCTCCAGGCGCGAGGAGTCCTTGTCTGAGGGAAAGAATGGAATTCTTCATAATGAAGGATCACTTAACCCCTCTACATTCCCACGGCGATGTTGAGTTGGGGGGAGGTTGAGGGGGTTAGTTATCTGCTAGTTCCTGTCTTTTTGCATTATAATTAGCCTTCTGTTTGCCGCAGGGAAAATGTATATTTGGGACAAAAGGGCTCTCATTTTCGGACTATTGGGTTTGCAAAATAATGGGCGTTCAGAACAACTAACTGGCACCTAGGGCTGCTCGATTATGGCAATAATCATAATTCATAATCATACTTTGAAAACATCAATTTATTGGAGAAAAAAAATGTGAACAGTATGTTTTTAGCAGTTGATTACCCTGAACTTTAAGTATAATTCAACTGAAAAAACAATTTAAAAAAAAGTAATTAAAAAAAATTAATTAAAAAATAATCGTTTTATTTCGATTACGTTGTTTTCGTAATCGTTGCAAGCCATAATCGTAATTGCGATTAAAATACGATGAATTGAGCAGCCCTACTACGGAAACAGGATTTACATTTCATCCCATTCCAGCCCACCTTGGCACTGTTTTGTCCCACTTTGATCCTCACGGTAGTTTTTTGTATTCCTCCCAGATTCCTCCTTCGCTCCGAGTACTAAAATCCAATATGAAAGCTTCCCCTAAGTGAATTTTGTGATTTATATTATTTTCCACTCAACCATGAAGGCAAATTAATCCACCATCTTTAAAAAACATTCACACCTGACACAAAAAGATCTATCAAAATCCCCCTCATTTGCAAAAAGTCGCTGCGGAAGTGGCTCGTGAAATATTTTCCTTGTGTATATGAAATACTGATTCAATGTGACCTTTACTGCAATGCGCTCTTAATGAGGACCTTTAAAATGTTAATTTGACTGCTCTTAAAGACTTGAAGAGTGATACAGAAAGATACAAGTGTATTAATTGGCATTATATCGCCCATCTGTCACCCTGCGATCTAAATCCTAAATCCCAAATAGGTACGTTCCTAGCCTGAAGTTGGGGAAAGCATTAGCATCTCCTCAGTCCTGAAGCTTTTATTTCCCTTTCTTCTGTTGTTCTGCCTCCTGTGATCTAGGCACAAAGGCAACATCCCCACATGGATAATTGCAATCAGATGCAACCTTGAGACGGGGAAGATAGCGTGAGCAAGTGAAGGGATCAGCGGACACAATGCATTCTTTGTAAATCCCACGTTTGTGTATTACTGAGGCCTTACACACATGTTGAAATCATTTACTTCTGTTTTAAAGTCAATGAAACATCTGCAAGGCACATTTATTCTCAAAAGTTTGACATTTGCATCCAGGTTTAAGGAGTAAGGGATTACATGTAACAGGATTACATAATCACGATACAAATACCTCCTTAGTAACATGAAAAAAAGACATAATTAGATTACTGTTACATTAAAAAAAAAATGGGATTACTCGCAGGATTACAAACCTATAAGTAAAATCTCTGAGCAGAGGACACACTTTGATCCTAAATATCTTGGTTTCTTCTTTTCTAAGATGACATTGTTCTGTCATAAGGAACTTAAGTAAGGAACTTCCTTACTTATTTAATTGCATTGCATTTGATAAAGAGGTAACTAAAATGTAACAGAAAGTAATCAGATTACATTACTTAATGATTTTGGAACCAAGATTAGGTTATTGATTAATGTTTACAGGCAACTAGTAATTGTCATGGAATACATTTTTAAAGTTACCCTCCCATCCCTGCTTCCATTGTTTACACCCTCTGGCAAAAAGATGGGTTTTTTTCATTTCTTATTTAACTGTTTTGCACTCCTTGTTATATTGCAATCACAAAAGGATTGACATGGACAGTGACGATTTGTGATTTGTCGAGCTTGAGTGAGCATCAAATCTAAGAATATACTCCTATTTTGTGCCGACATGGGAAATTGGCGTAACATTATCAGAGTTTGAGTCTGAAAGGGGCATTGCCGCATGAACACACAGTTATTTCTCACCTGTTGAGGATGTACCAGATCCCGGTGAGAGTGCCGGCCAGCCAGGAGCCTGACAGGAGCCATGCAGTTAGGTACAGAGCGATCACATACACTGCCTGGAGCGAGAACACTGTGTAGATGTAGAAATACACTGGCTCCAGATAGGACTGAAACACACACACACACACACACACACACACACACACACACACACACACACACACACACACACACACACACACACACACACACACACACACACACACACACACACACACACACACAGAGAGCAGCAGGTCATTAGAGCTGCTGTGAATGGACACACAGAGCTGCCTGCAGTGACAGCGACAGACTCTCAGGAGCACTGTGGTATTTTCAAAGTGTGCTCTGATATTTCACTTCCTGGCAGTCTTGTCACAGTGAGCTCTCTGAGGGAGCTAAGTAACTGCAGCTCAGTTAATTGATCTGCCGATACAGAAACCTTTTCCTCCTCCGACGTGACAAGTACAAGTGTGCCAAGACATGTCAGCTAGAAAAGACCAAAATGTTAAATGCCACAGCGGATCAAAAGCCTGACGGACTGCAGTGAAAAGCTCTTATTGTGATCAAGGGTCAAATGAATCACTTTAAGCTTATGAATATTTTATACAAAAAAACAACTTTTATCATGTATTTGACATTTGTATATTTATGAATTTAACATAAAATAATACAAACAGTTTTGCTACTGAATTTGATATAGATATATATGTTGTACTATATTTTTTAAATGTATTTTCCACATTGAAAAACAAAAAACAAAAACAAAGAAAAACATACATAACAACAATGCGATAATAAATAATGAAATACATCGACTGACATGACTTCACTTAAATTCAAATGAATACCGTTGATACAAATAATATGTATTTGTTTTCATGATGATAACAAATACATAAAAAAAGATAATAAAATAAAGGTTGCTCTTCCTCGCTGTTGACATTTTCATTTAGACTGAAACCGAATTGCACTTTTAGCGTCAGAATTAGAGTAAGCTGCTAAAACCCAGAGCTTGGCATTGGTTTCAGGGCCAACAAATAAACAGACTCTTGATTCATATAATATATATTTTGCCAACATACTCTTTTCATACTCAAGCTATTGAAAGAAAAGTAAATATTTTATTTTCCGTATCATGCTTTGATATCCATGTAAACAGCTGATCACTAGAAGAAGCTTCCACTGTATGATTATTATTCATGGCAGTACTTATTCAATATGTATGACAAAAGAAAACAGTGTATTGTGGTATAATTGTGATTGTATGAAATGACAAGAACAGTCAGAGAGAGAGTCAATCATCCTGTAATAGTGGCGGGCATTACTCTAATCTATTGTGTTTTACAAGCCGTTGTAAATATCTGACAGCTGAGTGATGGGGTACCTGTATGGGCAACAGTCTGTAGAGAACACTGAGGAAGACCTCCTGGTAGATATTCATCCGCTGAAGGAGATTGATGGTCCTCTTGGATTCTGTCAAGTTGTCATGGATCAAATCTGAGAGGCCTAGGAACACACACAAACACACTGTTTTAAAATGCCACCATTTCTTCACAGCGACATTGACTGATAATGGTATGAATGTTTCACAAAGCTCACCCTCCAGAGCATGGTGCTTGTTAAAGAACAATAAAAGTGCTTGAAATGTCTTTCCACCCCTAAAAACACAGATTGTTCTGCCTCAATTGAAATCAGTAATCGCTGCGAGCACCATAGATGACTGAAATCATCAAGTGCATTCAACCTTAAAAGCCTCAGGCATTATTTCCTTTGCTCAATTGTAAAAAAAATAGCATTGTTGCAGGTTTTTTTCTCCATCAAATCTTAAATGTCAGCATTTCCCATAGTCTTTTTATGATGCTACCTCAACTTAAAGGGGCCCTAGTCTGCTCAGTTTCAGGTTCATATCAGTATGTAGTGTCTCTACTTTAAAGAGTCCTCTCCTGCTGATGTTCAGGTGTATATCAGTATGTAGTGTCTCTCCTTTAAAGAGTCCTCTCCTGCTGATGTTCAGGTGTATATCAGTATGTAGTGTCTCTACTTTAAAGAGTCCTCTCCTGCTGATGTTCAGGTGTATATCAGTATGTAGTGTCTCTCCTTTAAAGAGTCCTCTCCTGCTGATGTTCAGGTGTATATCAGTATGTAGTGTCTCTACTTTAAAGAGTCCTCTCCTGCTGATGTTCAGGTGTATATCAGTATGTAGTGTATCTACTGTGACATGTCTCCATGCTTTAATGTTCACAAAGCTCTTTATTGTTCTCATACTGCCTGTACTGCAGCACCTCTTTTCACCCTCTGTCTGAAACCAGAGCCCAGTCTGCTCTGATTGGTTAGCTGGCTCTGTTGTGATTGGTCAATGCCTAGAGATGTCCCGCCCCTTAGCCTATCACATACAAAATAAGCGTGGGTGTTATGTAGTGATGGATGGTCCAATGGAGGCATTTCAGGCAGGGGGGAGTGTGTGGGAGAGAAACTCCCTCAGGGGGCAAAGTTGAGATTTGAGCCTTTACAGACAAAACACATGCACACGACTGCTGTCAAATGACAGGTGTCATTCATAGTGACAAATGATGTAATCCCTTTAGCTTTACTGAGAGTTTTAGCCCTTTTGCCCCTTTTTCTACTCCCATCGCTGTTCCTCTGACTGCTTCTCAGTAAGTACTTTGGTGAGGTTTATTGGCAAGAAAAACTAATATAACACCCACATTGGATTACAAATAAATGCATATTCTCCTATATTTCTCCCATTGCATGCAAAAAGGCTGGAACTGATGTTATATGACCGTGCACACACACACTGGTGTCAGTATTCCAGAAGCGGCAGTGGGTGCAGCATGGTCTCTGTGTATCTGTTTTGACTGGAACAAAGCGTGACAGCAAAGAGCTGAGTTTCTGCTGCAGGCCGGTGTGTGTCAGCCTCATCCTTTCTGCCTTTTTCATCCATGTAAGAGCTTTAAACTAAGGATCCATTGCTGCCCACACACACACACACACACAACCTACTCATCCTGTATATTTCTATTCACGCCCTCCTCCATCCTTTTCTTTCCATGTATGCTTACTTTCTCCCATCTCACCTAATTTCATACATCAATCTTACATTTGTCTCATTTCCACCATTATGCCACATGTTGTTCTCTGCCCCCCCCAGTACCATTAATACTGTGACACAGCCGCTCTGCAGACAGAAAAATAAAGTAGTGCAGAGTGAGAGTGAAAGGGAGGTCAGCCAGTTCCCGCTGATTAGCCTTCAGCTTAATTATTTGCCTTGGTGCAAAATTAGGCCTGTTTCCAACTAGAAATGTTACATGGTAACGGGAAGAAATAATTAGACTCATCTCCCTCAGACTAGACTGTGCGTCTCAGAAACAGCAGTGGCTTGTTTGATCTGGTTGGAAAAGATGTCAGCTGTATGGTGTCTCCATCCATGTAAAAATAGAATTACCAAAAGTATAATAAGACTATGTTTCAATCACCATAGCAATTACTTCTAAATAAAGCTCCATTAGTTGGTTAAAAACATCATCTGACTCAAACAAGAATCCTGCTAAAGGGCCATAAATGCAGGTTCAAACTCAGAAGCAAGTGTGTTTTTTCATGCACTGGTCTGAACTTTTGGGCATTTTGTGTCTTCTCTCGGACGAGTAGAAAAGAATACACATCCTGATGTATTGTCTGCTTTTGTCTGAAGATTTCTCCTTTAACAGCTTAAGTTAGTATCAGATAATGCCTCATTTGCACTTTCAAACGTTTGCAATATAAAAAACACATCAATTACAATACAATCATTTTATTTCATGGTATTATCAATTAGTTTAGATGTTTCACCTGTTTACCCTTTAGTTTTTCTTGTATGGAATTTGACAATACATATCCGTAAAGGTCGTTTTTTCAAGGTATATATTTTGTTCTCATTCTGAGGCAGAAATCTTTAGTAGTCCTTAGAGCAAACTTTCCAGCGTTATTGGATCTATATTCTAAAGTTTCTCTACAGAGGGATTTGTTAATACATTATTTATAGCCTGATTTATATAACATTACGATGGCGAGAAATAGATTTAGTTGTTATGGCTGTTGACCGTGTGAGTGATAAAACTCTCCTGGGACATGTCTCCATGCTTTGATGTTCACAAAGCTCTTTATTTGTCTCATACTGCCTGTGCTGCAGCACCTCTTTTCACCCTCTGTCTGAAACCAGTGCGCTCTGATTGGTTAGCTGGCCTGCTCTGTTGTGATTGGTTAGAGAGGTCCTGTCCGTTAGCCCAGTGGTTCCCAACCTTTTTCAGTGAGGCCCCCCTTGGGTAATTGGAAATATTTTCGAGCCCCCCCCCCAACCCGGTTCCCACCGAGATTGTACAACTCTATACAATTAATTTGACCAAACATTACATTTTCTCTGCTAATAATAACAAGACAAAAAGATCCAACTATATTTTTATATTTTATTACGGATGAACATGAACAAAAGTGCTTGTATTGGCAGATGACCCTGTGCCACTGTGAAATAATGAGGCCTAATTGAAACAATTACTAGTACCGCTTATCGATCCGGTTCTTTAACAGTATTTTTATTATAGGTTATTTTTGTTCTTTTTTAAGGGAAAAACTAAACAAATTGGAAAGAGAAGTAACATTGATTTATTGTATGTATAGTGTGGATTATGGGCTGCTAGCAGACATAACATACCTGCAGTGGTGGTAGTAACTAAGTAGATTTACTCAAGTACTGTACTTATTTTGAGGTACTTAAGTATTTCCACTTTTGCTTCTTTGTACTTCTACTCCACTACAGTTCAGAGGTACATTATGTGCTTTTACTACACATATGTATTACCTAGTTACTTTACAGATGAATGATGTGAAATATAATCAAGTGTTAAATCAGACTTTAGTTACACCTGGAGTAAATTCACAAGCTACCCTGCAGTATACTACTTTTACTTAAGTACTTGATCTGAGTATTTCTCCCACCTTACACGTAATTGGGACAACAGAACTCAGAGTTAAGGAAGTCGAAAACGGTGCATTTCTCCGTATGAACATGATGCCTTTTGGCCAGCTGATGGACAGATTGCTCGTGTTTCCGCGTTTATGTGAAAAATACTTATGGCAAAAGATCATTGACCACATCGAGCGTTGTAGATTGTCACTTTTGAACGCTCTGTTCTCCACCAGCGGATCTCTGTGTGCACGGTGCTGTTTGTCTGTGAGCGAGTCTGTGAGTGAGATGCCCCGCCCCCCGCACACAGAGAGAGAGAGAAAGAGGGAGAGAGAGAGAGAGAGAGAGAAAGAGAGAAAGAGAGACCACCGACCACGATTTTCGACGTCGATAGATGTCGGGCCGTCGATGAGCGTCGTGTCGCCCTACTCAGATTGGTGTGTACTGCACCGTCGTTTTCAGCCGTGCCGACACCTTCCGCCGCCGACATGTCGAATCGGTAGGCTGTCAGCCAAAGAAATCACTCTGATTGGCTGTTCAGGTTAGCGAATCAGTGCATGAGAAGCTTAACGGAAGTGAGGGACCCAAATAAACTATTAAGAAGACAAATCTGAGATTTCATTTAACTCCAGATCTCGACACAGGTTTGGGAAAGCCCCATGAGCTTCTCGCTGTAGAGTGAAAATGGAACGCACACGCTATTTGTTGTTTGTTTATATCCCGGGCGCTGTACACTAGCTGCACACTGCTCCTACTACTAGACTCCTGGTACTAGGATGGGTTAAATGTAGAGGCCAAATGTCACTGTGTGCTCTGCATGTGTGACCATTAAAAGAGGGTTTCATCCCTCCCAATTCTCGGTTATCATGCAGTCTGTCTTCCGGTTGTTGCCTCTTTTGAATGACGAATACACACTACCGCCGCCTGCTGGTAAGGAGAGTTATTGCCACTCACGCATGCGCAGTTCGTACGCGCTACTTGGCCGTCGGCTGAAGTCTTTGCGGTGTGTTCCAGTGCGAAACATGGCCAAGACGCAGGAGACGTGAGGCGACGTGAGCTGACGTTCCGTCGGGATGTGTTCTTTGGTGTTCTTTGGTGTGTAAGGAGCTTTAGATGTCAAGGGAGATGTATGCCTCATCATACTTTGTTGATTTGGGCATTATAGCTGAAAGGCTTGTCGTGGGCGCGTCCACTTTTCTTTTAACTGCCGATTGAGTTAAAAATGTGTCCATTTTATATATTTTAAGAGCAAACAATGTATGTTTACAACTTCTTCCCATGCTTCACACTGCAATAGCGCTGTGCCCCCCCCCCCTGGAGGGCAGTGGTTCCCAAGCCCTCCAGGTTGGGAACCACTGCCTTAGCCTATCACGTACAATGTGTTGGACAGCTAGCCAATATTTCTGGAGGGACCACAGGGATTTTAGCCTTTGCAGACCATTTACATGCAAAAAAACCTATATGCCTACAGGAAAGGTAATACCCAAGAAGCACAATTGGGCCATTTTAAATGATGGATACCTTCCTGTATGGATGGGGCCTGCAACATCTGCTTGTAGTAGGAGTAGTAAAGTCCACATTCTGTCCGGAAAGAGATCTCACGCTCCACTTCCTGAAAGCAGAAAGGGGATTTTAGTCAAAGACATCAAAGACTTCTGTTTTCTGAAACATGGAAAACAGATTAAACACTTTTTGAGAAACTAGAATACCGCCATAACTATAAATCTTTCTTCTTTTTAAGCCTGTGCTTATACTGTTTTCAATCAATTGATTTAGTTCTGACAGATACAATTAATGTGAGCAATTTAAGTAATACATATGTGTTTTGTAACTACCTTTTTGTATCCATTGCTACTTAAAAAGGCAGATATATCTATAACATGGAATAATCAGAAGAGGCTAGATAGCCGCATACTAGGGATGTTAAGATTCACAGATTCGCATCGGTGCACCGGCATAAACGTTCAAGATGCGAGTGCACCTGTTGAAAGAGTGCACATCGGCTACAGTTTGGGTTGAACTCGCGATGCATCGATTGTAGCGTCTTTGCATCGGTAAAAAAACTATTCATTCATATAATATCTCCTCATCCTGTAAGCACTCAGCAGAGACGACCTTTGATCTTTGCTTCGCACTACGGAGGCCGAGGTCTCAGTTATCAACACACATGGAAGTCGAGGAGAAAAAGAAACACAGCGCACCGAAAAATACCTACAAATCAAACGTTTGGCAACACTTTGGATTTTTCAAGAAAGACGTCAACTTCGCTCGCAAATTGTAAACGATGCCGTGCCGCTTTGAAGTACACAAGTAGTACGAGGAACTTAGCGACGCACATAAAGAGGCGACATGGGGTCTGCGGCTGAAAGAGAAACCTGAAAGTTAGACACATGAGTTAAATCACTCAGTGAGGTGTTCTGTCAGAGAGAGTGGTGTTTAGTTTACAGCAGCCTGTGACGGCCAATAATAATTTAAATGTCTTCCTTACTGTAAGCCGTTATGAAATATCTGTTTGTGAAAGGTTATTTGTATTCTTTATTGTTCCTATAGAAACCACTGCTTTCTGCTCACTGGTGAGTTAGCCTATGGATGAGTGTTAAGCACATCAGGCTGGCAGCTGTATGGGCATTGCACTATGGTAGTTGTTAATCATGGGCAATGCATCCTTAAATTGTTTATCTGTGAGGTGTTATACAATTGTACTATAGCCTACTCTGGAGAGTTTTTTAAGGTAAAAAAGGTAAAAAAGAAACGGCATGATGGGATGTGCAGTACTAGTAGACAGAACCAAATATGTAAAGCACTTTTTTGTTAATTTATGATTTGTTGCATATAAATAAAACAAAAATCCTCTGTCGTACCATATTGAAGTATAATTATTTTGCATCGTGTTGAATCGTATCGCCCCGTACCGCATAATGTTGAATCAAATCGAACTGTATCGCGACAGGGGTGAATCGTATCGTATCACATCGCCTGGTGTTTCAAATGTATCGTTAATGTATCGTATTGTGGCAACGTATCGAGATGCGCATCGCATCGTCCTCAGTGATGGAGATGCACATCCCTACCGCATACACATTTATCGTGGCAAAGAATAATGGAAAACTTGAAGAATATATTTAAGAAAAAGCTTAAATACTCGTAATGCTCAACAACTATAGCACAGGTGTCTTTATGTGTGTACTTAGGGTGCATTCACACCTAATAGTCCGTTTTCTGGTGCGCACCAGACGACAGTTTGTTACATTGTTTCATTTTTCAGAAGGTTCGGTTTGCGTTCACAGGGCAAAACTCAAACGGACTATAAACTTTAAACACAAGTCATGTGCACGGAAATGCTGTTCAACCATTGGTCAGACATTAAGGGGGTAAAAACGCAAATCCCGGCAGGCAGGCACTTTCGGCAGGTTATTCTCATGCTGCCGTTAATCTGGAGATCAACAGACACTAGCGTCCCGCGCATATGATTATATAATCAGACAACATCCGTTAAAAAACATTATAACATAATGAGAGACGTTCTGCAGTAAGGAAGGGCGTTTCACCGACGACAGGTGTTCTTACTTTTATGTAGCTGACGGAGAATTTTTACATTACACGACACTGTTCAACACTTAATTCTGCTTCACTCTAACTAAACAACCGCGGATGTCTTGAAAGACTCTTTCGCTAAAGATTTTGAAGATAACCGCGTTCTTGTGACACGTAAATATACGCTTCCTATGTCTTGGTGTGGACTGCGTTCACACCAGCAATGAACCGCTCCAGAGTTCGCAAGCAAGCGCTCCGAGACCACCTATTTTAGGGTGCGTTCACACCAGCCTTGTATAGTCCGGTTGAATCGAACCTTGGTGCGTTTAGCCGCTTGGTGCGGTTCATTTGGGTCGGTGTGAACACAATCTGAGACCTCTTAAGTGAACTAAACAACCGGACTCTGGTCCGCTAAAATAGGTGGTTTCGGAGCGCTTGCTAGTGAACTCTGGAGCGGTTCATTGCTGGTGTGAACGCAATCCGCACCAAAACATAGGAAGTAGGGATGCACGATAATTATCGGCCCGATAATTATCGGTCCAATATTAGGAATTATGACGTCATCCCGATACACCCGATACCAGTATTAATAGCCCCGATAATATAAAATATATTTTTTGGGTAAAAAAAAGAAAAAATACTGCGGTGTGGGTGGATTGGGATGAGGGGCGCTTGTTTTTCACTCGGCTCCTCCCGTTTTGCCAGTACTGTGGTATTAGTGGTTTAGGAAGAGGGGAGTTCTTCACAAATCCAGCGCTCTCTAACTCATGCCTGGCTGTGACGTAAATGGTGTGCGGCCGTGAAGCCAGGACAGTAAACAAGCATGTCGTCGGTGGTATGGGCGTTGGAGCTATGTGCAACTCAAGGCATATGCTCGAACCGGAGCTGCCTGGACGCTGCAATCATGTTGCGCACTATCCGTGCTGAGTGTGCTGACTTTTCGTACAATGTCCCACTGTCTGGCTTCCTGCATAAAGTCAAGTGCTCTGCGCAGTTGTGGCGAAATCTCGCTCCTCTGTTTTCATCTCCTTATATCCGTTAGCGCAGCTAGCTAGCACCAGATGCTAACAACAACAATGCACGTAAGGTCTCTCGCTCGCTCGGGCCACACATACACACACCCTCCCGGTCCTCCAGATGGCCAGTCGGTGCCTTTATATATACAGTCTATGGTCGGTGCCTGCCGGTGAGCGTGGAAGTGTGGTCTGCCACAAGCGGGCGGCAGGAGCAGAGCTGTCAGCATCAGCTTGTAGATGGTATTTTAAACTCGATGCGCTCTGAAACTACGGGGCGGCCAAGGAAAAAAAATACACATGCGTTAATCACGTTAAAATAATTAGTGGCGTAACAATTTTTTTGTTATCGGTCTTGAGAAGCAGGAAGTTATCGGTATTGGTATCGGTTTCAAAAAAACAATATCGTGCATCCCTAATAGGAAGCGTAGTATTTACGTGTCACAAGAACGCAGATATCTTCAAAATCTTTAGCGAAAGACTCTTTCAAGACATCCGCGGTTGTTTAGTTAAGTAACAATTCTCCGTCAACTAGGCCTACATAAAAGTAATGAATGAATGTTTATGCCCAATATCACAAATGTTACACTTGTCTCAGTGGACTTCACAGTTTGTACAGAATATCAGTATGACAATACGACACCCTCTGTCCTTAGACCATCACATCGTACAAGGAAAAACTTCCGGAGAAAACCCACAGTTTAAAGGGAAAAATGGGAGAAACCTCAGGGAGAGCAACAGAGGAGGGATCCCTCTCCCAGGACGGACAGACGTGCAATAGATGCCGTGTGTACATTGAAAAGATAATACATTTGCAACATAGGTAGTCCAAATGTTTGGAAATGCATGTGTCAGTAAGTACACCTGTCGTCGGTGAAACGCCCCTCCTTACTGCAGAACGTCTCTCATTGTGTATGTGCTATAATGTTTTTTAACGGACGTTGTCTGATTTATATAATCATATGCGCGGGCCGCTAGTGTCTGTTGATCTCCAGATTAACAGCAGCATGAGAATAACCTGCCGAAAGTGCCGATGCTCCATGGTGGAGGCTCCGGTAGAAATTGCTGGGATTTGCGTTTTTACCCCCTTAATGTCTGACCAATGGTTGAACAGCATTTCCGTGCACATGACTTGTGTTTAAAATGTATAGTCCGTTTGAGTTTTGCCCATGTGAATGCAAACCGAACCTTCTGAAAAATGAAACAATGTAACAAACTGTGGTCTGGTGCACACCAGAGAGTGGACTATTAGGTGTGAATGCACCCTCGGACCAGAGTCCGGTTGTTTAGTTCACTTAAGAGGTCTCGGATTGTGTTCACACCGACCCAAACGAACCGCACCAAGCGGCTAAACGCACCAGGGTTCGATTCAACCGGACTATACAAGGCAGGTGTGAACGCACAGACGATGTCTTCCCAAGAGTGTTCCTGCTTGCCATGTATGATGATTGTTCCACTAGAGGGTAAAGACGGAGAGCAAACAGTGAACAAGCAGCTGCAGAATATAAACTCAATCCTCCATCCATCATGTTCCCTCTGTGAATAGCTTTTACAGCTGTGCTCCACTAAAAACACATTATTTGAGTGTAGTGATATATTTTGTTGACATATCGGCTTTGTGATTTAACTCAAAGTCTCTCTCAAATTGTTTCTCCAGGATTATCATTTTCATATTTCCGTTGGATTTCAAAAACTACTTATTAAAAACCTAAGCATAGTCAGAGTATGACTAGAGTGCCGGTGATGTCATTATTTTTCAGTAATGACTTACGGATTACTGTTTCTAATAAAGAGACCATAAAAACATCTCATAAAAACTGTTTTTATATGACTTAAACGGCTCAGCTGATTGAGATTTGCAACTAAACTTACTGAAAAAAAAAAAAAAGTGCGGTCAAATATATTATGTGTAAGAAATGTTCCATATTTTAAGTATGTTCCTAATTGTCCCTTTGTAGCCAAATACCATGACCTGATTAATCAAGTGGAAACCAGAAGACTTTGAGAATTTGAGAGCATAATTTACCCAAATAGTTACCTAAGGAGTAAGGAGTTAACATGTTCA